GTGTTAAGAGAATATTAAAAATTACATCTATTAAAGATTACAATTATATCACTGATATATACCTGATATTTATTATATTTAATGATATTTATTTATTTTCTTATATATACCGGTATCATTTTTATAATTTATGAAGTGGCATACGTGATAAGTGATAACTGTTCACTGGTTAATCGACGTCCAAAATTATATTGTTTGTTTTAAATTATTTTAAGTGTAACTTATAGGTGTTTTAAACAAATATAAAAATACCAGTCCCGCTATCTTGTTAAAAGGACAATAAATGGATATCGTGAAGAAAAAATCGTTTATATTTACGAACGGTTTTGTAGATCAATATTCTCTGGGTAGTTTGTAAACTTGCAGCTATCATTTTTTTAATATTACTGCAGATGAAATTTAACAGAATATGATGAAAGTTCTCATATATGTAATACTATTTATTTAAAAAATGTTAGCGCATTATTCATTCTGCCATAAGACATCTCTTGTGTGTCTTATTACATAAACTATATACATTTTAAATTTAAAGATGAGGAAATAGTTAGATAGCTCAAGAGAGTGAAAATGTCCTTCTTGCCCTCTCGCTGACGATATGGTCCTGACATAATACTAAGCTTTCGTCACATCTGCAACAATTGCTATAACTATCGTTAAGTACAGAGTAGTCTATTTTTAGCTTTTAAATATGCCGTATTAATATGTTATATTTTCTATATTGGAAAATGTATCTTACATTCTCGCCCTTTTGTTTTTAACAATGCATTTAATTGAATCCATATCGCTTCTTAAACAGTTTAAATAAAATTAATTATTTTAGAATAACACACTTGTCTACTAAAACTAAAAATTTCAAAGTGCAAACATTTAATAAATGCATTAATATAGAAAAACTGGAATGATCAGCAAGCACTGATGTATCGCCTTGTATATAACAATATATTACAGCTAAGGTTGTTCACGGTCTATAGGATCCAAATAAATTGAATAAAATGTGTCTAAATAGACAATATATATGAGTGTTTTTGTTTTATAAACGAAAAACCGATGAATTGTCATCAAGTCATATCCAAAAATTATTCAGATAACGATTTACATTATAATGTCTGTGTAAAGAGTTAATAGCGTTTACTTAGTAGTGAGTTGGGTAAAATGTCGACCTATATCATTTCAAAATAAACATTGTTTGAAAAATTATCTTAATAGTCTCAGTCATACATCACTGATCGTGACATATGGAACGTGACTCCGAGGCTAACTGATTTAATTAGATTCGTTTCATATTATGCATAGCAATAATATTTAATAAAGGTTAATTTAATAGATACGTAGTATATACCTACGTTACATATTATATCATTTTGACTTGACTTTATCTTAATACTGTGTATAGATATTTATAAATTTATAATACTTATAATATGCTTTAAAATTAAAATATCAAAAAAAAAACAAATTCTTCTAAAGTTAGATATATTTTCATGTTCTATGTTAGTTAGATAAATACAAAGCGTGTGGGTATACTGACTTTTTAAGCAATACAAATTAATGTTTAAAGGAAAAATCAAAAGTTAAAATATATTTTTCTTTATTTTTTTATAAAATATATTTATGATCTACATATAAAATAATACAATAAGTTTAGGGTGAATAATATTGGTGTTTGATTGAAGCAGAGGTCAGAAAATTTGGTGGTGGAGAATTTTATATAACTGAAAATAATTGTAATAAATAAATCTAACTCCGGGATGTATATTGGCATGTAAAGACTACTATATAGGGTTAAGATGAGATATTGTTTTAAAATTGTGGTTTAGTATAAGGTTTTTGAGAATTTTACTGCTATTGTTAGTAAGGCTAAAGCTCCAATGGGCTATTTAGAGTTGAAATCATCTGCTACAAGAAAGTGATTTCCAATAAAGTTAAAAATTGAAGGAAATCATCGTAATTTTATTCATTTTTATACTGGGGTGAAAGCAAGTTGATGAGATAGTGGTAGAGATTTGGCTCAGTTTTAGAAAAATCATTGTGGTGTGTATAGCATTTTTTGGTGGAAGTATGGTTTGTTTAATAAATAATAACTGATTTTATTAATATTGTAGAATTTGCGGGGGCTGAAACATCGAAATGGTTGAATGGTTACAGTGATAATGTATTAAATAGCCAGAAATGTGAAAGTAGGAGTTTGGTATTAGGTGAGCATCACTTATAACTTATTATAAGTTATAATAAGTAATACATCGATGTAATTTGTTGAGAGGAAGGCATACTATGTGTTTTGTTTTTTTGTGAGCTGATCCATTGGCGTTTTATTGGATGATTGAGAACTGATAAATGATATTAATTGGTCTATTTTTCATTCTTAGAGAACATTAATTTAGTTTCTTTATGAGATTAGTTAATAGAGAGATCGGGGGACATATAGTGACTTGAAAGTTGTTAAGAAAGAAGGCCATTTAATGAGATAGGTGTCCAGGGTTTTTATTGAGGAGGAAGGGGGTTGACTTAGCAGATGAGTTGTGCTTGAGCAAAAGATTTATTAGGTTGAGGGTTTATATTAGAAGTAGTGCTTACATTATATTTTTCATTAGAGTATACATGGCTAATTTGTTTTAATTTATGTTTATCTTATTGGAATGATGAAGGGAGGTTTAGATTTTTAATATGGCTTGGTGGATTAATTCATAATTGATTCGATTATCACAAGTTGATAAGACAATCGACTGGACCGGCCGTGCGAGGTCATCGTAAATAACGAGATATTAGCTAATTAATTATTTTTATGTTACTAGACATGAAAAAAGAAACAGCTTAAGATGAATAATGTTATACTTGATTTGTTTGAGCACAGCTTACTTTTATTGATAAACACGTTTTTAAATGAAAAAATCGGTGCACAATTGTATTTGTAATAATAAAAAATACAGAACAAGATAGCTGCGAATGATATTTCGTGGTTAACGGTCACCATGATAGCAAAAATATGCTTATAACTGTAGCATGCGATTTTAAATTGGGCTACAGAATGAAATCATTGGCAGACTATACGATGAAAATTCGAAAGATATAATAATAACAATAAATTATATTTATATGATGAATTAAGAACTTTGGAAAGAAAGGGAGATTATCGAAATTCTCACTTATAACAATGGAATTACTTATCTGTATATTACGACAATTTTAATATATATATGTATGGAATTTTAAACAAAAAAAATGTTGGGTTCTTAAGTAATATATGTATAACTTAAGCCAAGTTATTTCAAAGAAATTTAAGTTTAAAATAATGAACTCGCGGTTAACAGAAATATTATCATTTATAATTCCGTTTAAGTAGGTTGTTAAAAAATGTAATTATTCTCGAAATATTATATTTATATTTTCAATATAACTTGTTTCAAATAATAAAAATATTACCTTAGTTATTGAAAGTAATAATGTGAAATTCCGTTCTATTTAAAGAAACTATGCTGTATCATATACATATATTACAGATAGATTTTCAAAATATAACCGTGTTGTGATCTCATCATGAAACTTTAGTTAGGTTCTAATCATAATATTTATGTTGCAATGCGTGTTCTGGAACAATATCCAAAAATCTTATCTTTATCGGAGAGTGTATCCCCCACATAACTATATATATATTTATATATTATAAACGTTAAGATGTCCGTATTAAGTCTACCAAAATGACTTTTATTTCACTCTGGGCTCGAAGCCAACTTAGACTGTTAGAAAACCTACACCATTTGTGGGTGTTGTATTTTTTTCTGCTTTTCATTTTTACAGCTCTTAAGAGATTATTTGAGTTTACTTTCCGAAATATAAGGCACACGTTTTTTCCCTCTACGTTTTTCTAACGACAATTTAAAGATCTACACAGTCTCCCATTTTCTTGTACTCATAAAAGTCTGTAATACACCAATGACACTAATCATTAAGTGTAGTTCGATTCGCGTACAAGTCCCACAAATATATTAACCTATTTTTTTTTTTCAATCTATGAACATTCCACATTTCAGGTGTAGCAATCGCGACTCAAACAAAGTGTGGTACGTTGCTAAATATCGTCTAAAATAGCATCGATTATACCAGGAATTATCATACTGCCAAAAAGTTCATTTTCACAAGCGTTATTTTATGTCTACAAAATCACTCACACGTGCACGTCTATTCCGGATTCGTGTCCAAACACCTCAAATATTTCATACGGACACTGCACAAATACAAGTATTTCACGATTGGCCAAGAAAAAAAAATATGTTACACACAATTTTTGATCTATCAAATATATTTAGTTTTCTATTTAAAATAGTTACGAGGTAGAGCAAATTTAAAGAAACGTAAACTAAATGGTGAAAAAAACATAAAGAAAACAGAACTATACAGTTTTATTAAAACGATTAACCATTCCATAAATCTGTTCAAAGCATATAAATTATAAAAACTTATAAAAAAAATAAATTATTGAAAATATTAGGAAGTGTAACTTGTTTATTATTAATTTATTTTAATATACCATAGTATGATTACTATAATATAAGACAGGCTTGGGTAAATGTATATTATATTTCTCAAAAGTATTTTTACTTTTTTTTTTTTGTTATTTTAAGTCATCGCATTCAATGCGTTTTTGAAAATCAGTTGCAGATTTTTAAAAATTGTTATTATAAAATACAAACATAATTTAAATATTACATTAATATAACATTTTAATCAAACGAATAGTTAATATTAGATTTTGTTTTAACAATTTAAAATTATAATTTTTTTTGTAAGGTGTAATAATTGTGCACTAAAATTACACACCTATATAGATTGAATGAATAAACAAAAATTAAATTAAAAAAAAAAAAAAAGTAATAAAGAAAACAATGGTCCACGACTTCCACAATATTTTATAAGAATGATATTATTGACCCTGATTATTCAATCACTCAATTGGTTATATGATAATGTGAACAAAAATACATTTAACTATAAAACATACATACTTCAAACTTGTTCATAATAAATTCTCTTAACGTTTCCCAAATTGTTTGAACGCCACCTATATACTGGTATACTGAAATTACCTATTCGATGCGCGATCAACGGATACACACACCGTTAAACGAATGCGTAGCACACACTCTTGTGACTTGCTTACATAATAATATGCCGTGTAACGTTTTTATATTTTACTACTCTTAGTTATAATAATTCCACGCAAACATTTGTTGGTTTTACTATGACTTAATTGACATAATATCATCAAAACATATTTGTTTAATTGGCACACGAGTAGCCATATTATAGCATTTAAGATTGTTATGATGTACATTTATTTTTTTATGACTGCCACAGTATTTTCCGTGTTTTATATGATTTTTTATCATATATTTCCTTATTATAGTATTATTTATTTCATTATATTATGGTTTATAATACATTAAAGAATATATTTTATATTATTGGCACCCGTCCAACAATTCTTTAAAAAAAAAAAATTCTTCTCGAAGGTAAATTATCACAATATTAAATATTCATATTTTTATATTCTACACTCAATTTGTTTAATTATAATTTATGAATAGTTTATCAAAAATAAATTAATAAAGACTGTATAGAAGATTAAAAACGATTTATTATGTTGAAATTTCAATGAATTAAAAATATATATTACTTCTGTAAGTCTCCAAATTTTAGACTAAGCACCTCTCTTGTGAATTAGAAAATTGTATCAGATAAATTCATATTTTATAGTTATATTATACTCCTTTTCTTTGAATAAAAGTTTTGATATTGTACCTCGCATAAGTTTCCATATAGCTTATGTATGATTATCATTAATACGAAAATACTTATCATTTAGAAAGGTACATAATTTATACAATTTTGAAGCGTTTATAAACCTTTAACCTAAAGATATGATCAATATAAAATGTTTTTAAGGAGTTTAATATAAGCCACTTTCTTTAATGAATGAAAGAATATCATGTAAACGTGTGTGAATTATGATACAAAAGTAATTAATTCACTAAAACAATTTACATTTTTCCATCATATCAACTAAACTATAGGTATGCGATAAGAAATATTAAAAAATAAATAAAATTGCAATAAAGATAATAATTTATCTATTATATTACCATCTTTATTTATTTTTTTTTATTTATGTATTTATTATTACTCATTTATTAATATATTATTACAATTTAAAATTAAATTAAAGAAAATTATAAGAAATGGAATTTGATAGATTGGGGTGGCTAATCTCGTTTAAACTTTATAAATATTCCAAATATTTTTTTCAGATTTCTTATCGCCGTTGTTTTATTAGTACAATGAATAAAAAAACAGTAAATAGACACTTTGTACTGTCTATTGTTTGATTTACTTACTTCGGATACTTTTTACAGTAAAAATAAACAAGGAAATATATTTTAAAAGATGGGATCAGATAAAAATATTTAAAACTGTACTCTTTTAAAACATAATCTTAAAATGAATTATATTAAATCAAACTTTATAGCCTTCACATAAGATTAAAGAACTCAACCAAATTTTAATGAAATCAATAAATCACAATTTAAATTGTAAAATAAATAATTGTTTATGCAATGTTATTAATTGAACAGAATATACCAAATATCTAAGAATACCTAATTATTGACCAGTACTTAAAATGTACAGATGCGTACCATAATCATTAAATTACGAAAATTACACTATTTATATGTATGTCCTTAAAATAAATTATTAAGTATACAAACACTACGCATGATCTATATTTTTATAATCCAGACGATTCTTTAATATAGTATAACAGCTGTATAGGGAGGATTAGGTGCTGCTGTAAGAAATAAAATACTAAAAGCACAAAAGAAACATTATAAACATTATAGGTACTTAATAAATAAATCTAAAACACATCTTTCTGATTTCTAACTTTTTAAAGAATCTAATGCACTCTCTGTACAAAAATTATTTAAAAAAAAAAAAAAAAAACGCTTTTTATTATATAAATTTAATCTAATTAAATTAAAACCAGCATAGGTACTAAAATACACGAATAAACGATAGTAGAATGCTAAGATTAAACCTATGTTTTTACCAAAGTAGGTATTGAGCTATTAAATAGAGTCTTGTCTCATATCTTAAATTATGAATAAAATACAATAAGTGTGTTAAAATATGGTTAAATAATAATACGAACATTTAAGATCACTTTTTACATATTGTGAACTTCGTTGAAATGCATTTGATTTCTACTTAAATTATTATAATAACCTATTTTATTTTTATCTTTTGTTTTTGATGTTTATATTATTATCTTAATTATTTATTATTATTTTTATTAGTACCTAGTCCAATTCACTAATAAGAGATTTTTTTCAGAAGTGAGTTGGCCCGTTAAACTCGCTGTTATTTTATTGTAATTATACGTAAATATATCTACAGATGACCAATAAATATTAATTTTATTATTATATTAGGTAAAATAAAAATGCATGGTAATAATAAGCAAAGAAATGAAATAACATCGTTATTAGTTTTATATTATAACTCACAATTGTTCTTAGACATTCATAATCTCTAAAAACCAATAATTTTAAGTATTTTTAATAATATAATGTACTTATATTATGATATAAATAATTATTATTTATTTATTTATTTCTATAAGATAATTATAAAAAAATTACAAGATTACTTGTACTTACCTATTAGAATGTAGAATATTATAATTAAAATTTTTTTTTCTACATGAAATAATACTAATTGTTCGCTATAATGACTATATTGTTACTATCTACAATAGTACCAATTGTCCGTGGTTTAATTTTTTTTTCCATTTAAAAGTATAGAAAAAAAACTGTCAGTATCGAATTAAGCGTTTTTGGTGAATTTCCATAATCATTTGTTATTAATTATTATAATTGTCAACAAAGTATTTCATACTTGCATTTATTTTTTTATTTAAACCGATAAGTATATATTTAAGTATAAATGTAAGTTTTGTAATGACTCATAGGTTCGACACACAACGAATGATCGATCATGTATTAAGTAGTTATCAAACAATATAGAGGTTAAAATCTTAGGCATGTGAAAACTTTTGGATCACCAAGGATAATGCTCAAGAGTAATGTCTTAATATGGCAAATATACGTGTATAAATATACACACTTCCAATAGAATAATGCTAGGTAATTATAATGCGGTGTTTGATAAAGTATAATAATATGCATTTGAATTAGGTGCGTTTACTACACAAAACAAATCACATAATATACTAAGAATTTGAGTTTTTTTTTAAATTACGTTTTATAAAATAAAATTAGTGTATTATCATACAATTTATTTAAATTTGTATTATTGATCTACTTGTTTGTTTGACATCTGTTATACTGTGATGTACATTTGAGTGTCAAATTTAGCACATCGATATGTTGTTTTCAAAATTAGGTTCATATAGTAATATTGTAAAACAACCAAGATAGTATATTGTTCTAACACAATTCAAGATCGTTCTGCGCAAAAAATAATTTACAAAACGCATCGTAGATCTTTGGAATTTTTTCAGGAATAAAATATATCCTTAATCCTAGATAATTCGAACGAAATGATTAGTTTGAATCCAGATATCTAAAATATTTTCATCTTGGATTTTTGAAATAAATATTATGTAATAACTAATAATATATAATACCAGTAGATATAACAAACATTAATATTTAATGCATTTTATGCATTTGGACAGTTGTAACTTGTGGTCAATTATTTTAATAATAGGAACATCACTGTTTTTTTATCGACAGTACCTTATAATTTTTTAAAAGACAATTATTTTATCTTATAATCTGAATTTTAAATTCATGAATTGAGTAGTCTAAATTATGTATGTACTTATATATATATATATATATATTTTTCGGATTTACATTAACCCCAACATTGTTCTCTATAGCTTCTATTGCCATAAGCAACTCAAGATGCATTTTTTTACTCCTAACGCTGTATAGTTGTATGTCAACTCATACATCCCTTAATCCTACATTACTGTGCGATGTATGTACACACCACCCGCCATTTATTTAAATCTCGTAAATACAACGACTTCCGCGTGAATGAGAAAGTATGACATTTTAAAAATCTCGAAAAAGTTACAAACAAACAAAAAATAAAATAAAAATAAATACACACAAGTATGGCTTGTGAATATTTATTACATGCGTCCCATCACCGTTTGACAAAATTTATCAAACATTTAATGTTTTACTATGCTGATGAATACTTATTTACCAGATGTAAATATTCCAATTGAATTAAAACTATAATAATTGTCTACTGTATAATATGGCATGCATTATATTTGTGGATGGAAATAATTAACTAATATATAGTTTATTATTGAACAATATTTTCGCGAAAATTGAAGTAGATAATGAAGATTTGTAATATCGAGAAAATCATATAATTTAAAATATTATACCAACATAATGTATTCTAATAATTAACAATAGCTGCTTGTTTGGTTTTTATTTACATTTTTAATTGTTCTAATTACTGTTATTATATTATTATTATTATCATTATTTCTATATATTTAATATAATGCCGATAATGATGTATTCTTACCATTTAATTATTTTAATTGGTTTTTATTGGTCAACTAATCGACAACAATTGATATTTAATCATTAGTCAGTTATTGCTGTTTATACAATTAAAAATTATTCCTATTCCATAAACAATAAATATTGACCACATTAGCTAAGTTAATATAAAAAAATGTATATTAGTTTAAATGCGTTCAGTAAAAAATTAATTCCCATATTAAATAAATAATATGTGGTTGGGGATGTTAATGGAATTTGAAATTCGACAATTTTCAAGGTTCTACTAAATGGTTTGAACGGGTTTTTGAATTTATTTTAAGTTCTTTACAAATTTAAAATCTTAAACATATTAGCACGTTTATCCGTTGATTTTAAATTATTATTATAGTATTCTTTCGTATGATAATTTATTAATAGGTACACATTTCATTGTTATGCTTTTTTTTTTTAAGTTCCTGAAAGTTTTTGTTGAAAATGTT